TCGGCTAGGAATATTTCAACTTCCGTTACAAGGTGCGCAAAGCGTGCTTACTACGCAAATAAACTGGATTCCAATCTACCACCGGGTGTTTTGTGGCGCAATATCAGTAGTCTTAGGGTACGTAGTAAGGAGAATGTGCGATGCACTCTATCACCTGACGACGTCAATGATGCCTTTCTTGGGTCTTGTGTGTCTAATGTAGTAGCCCCCAGTTTTGTTCAATCTAGTCGCTTGTGTTTCGGAGGTTCGTCTTTTGAGTTTTCTACAGTAACCGAATATGATGTGAGTAGATGTGTTCTTGGTATAAGGTCTAATGCTGTAGGAGAAGATGGTCTTCCATTAAAGTTTATAAAAGTTACACTACCCTTTATCCTTGGAACTCTCACTCACATCATAAATCACGGTGTAACAACCTCTCGTTTTCCACATTTGTGGAAAATTGGTTCTGTGTTACCTGTCGCTAAAAAGAGTTCTGCAACTTGTCCAAATGATTTTCGGCCAATCAGTATTTTGTCTGCTTTGTCCAAAGTGTTTGAGATCCTTATGGCTGAACAAATTTCGATACATATTGATACACACATACATAATCTCCTCTCTCCACTTCAATCAGGTTTTCGAAGAAGCCATAGCTGCAGCACTGTCATATTAAAAATTCTAGCTTACATTCAGGGACCCTTCGATAAAAATCACTTAACCTTGCTGTTTACTAGACTTTTCTAAAGCCTTTGACTCGGTTAATCACGCGCTACTATGCACTAAACTTGAAAGATACTTTGGATTTGGGAGAAGTGCTCTGCAACTTATGAGTAGCTATTTGCTTGGCAGGCTCCAACGTGTACGAATTGGTTCTGAGCTCTCTCAGCTAAAGGGGGTGCCTGCTGGGGTGCCTCAGGGATCTATACTTGGCCCACTTCTTTTTAGCCTATTTCTAAATGGCATTTTTCAGGTCTGCCTAAAAGCTAATCTCCATGCCTATGCTGACGATATTCAACTATACTTATCGGCTCCTCTGGTGCAAGCAGATCGATTGTGCGGCGATATTAATGCTGAGCTATCCGTTATTTTCAATTGGGCGAATGCCAATGGTTTGCATCTCAATTGTGATAAATCACTTGTTTTGCCAATACTTAATAAGAAAAACATAGATTTCAGCTTTTTATCGCCGCTGATCATCGCTAACAAACCTCTGAAAAAGGTAAAAATTTAGGGCTTATACTAAACTGTAACCTGACTTGTACAGACCATATTAATGCAATGGTTGGGAGGGTTTATGCTACCTTAAAAAATTTAAAAGTGTCTGGATTTTATACTCCACTGAGTACAAGGCGTCAGCTTGCACTATAAATAATAATGCCGCAAATCACATACGCTGAGGTAGTTTACAGCAAGCTTGATAGCAACTCGATGCGCAAGGCTGATATTTTGTTTAATAATATAACCCGTTATGTGTATGGTCTCACAAGGTTCGAGCACATATCGCCGTGGAAGTGTAGCCTCATGGGTTGTGAAATAACAGAATATTTGAAAGCCCGAAACTGTGTTTTTCTATATAGACTGATTGCTATGGAATCTCCAGGTTACCTTTTTAATAAGTTAGTATTTACTAGGTCTGCACGGGTAACAGATCTAATTGTCCCTTACTTTAGTACGTTAACATCAGAGAGACTGTTTCAAATTTATGTTTTTTTTTAATTCAATTACAAGGAATTTCACTTTGTAATTGGAATAAATTACGTGCTAGTAATGTAATTTTTTTCCAATTCCTTTGAAATGAATTGAAAATTTAATAGATTGTTTTCAATTCAGTTCAAAGGAACTGAAAAAAAATAATTTCGAATTCCATTCCTCAAAGTAATTTAAAAAGTAATCAAAAACTTTATCTAACAAATTTTTAATCAACTTATTCCTAAGTAGTATTACTACTTGGGCTTTAAGAAAGCTGAATAACTTAAACTCTAGCTGTTCATTTTATAGGGTAACCGTTAAATTTTCGTATACTGTTGCTGCTTCGGAAACTGCTGTTCTCTTGGACTGGTCACTTAGTCTGTTCCAATAGCATTTCGGTTTACAGGATTTAGTCAGATCTTACTGGAAGTCGTTCCTATTGACTTAAAACCTGTAAGTGGGAACACATTTGAGAGAGTAACTGAGCAACTGTTCCTAGTCAGAAGTTGCAGGATTTAGTCCGGAGTATTTTTTCCTGTAAGTTCATGAAAAGTGTCAAACGATCAGCTGATTTACATGTGCAAACAAAAACTGAAAGCGGTGAAAGCTATTTGTTAAAAAATGGAAGTAAACAACGAAATATTTGAATATGTATAGATTTTAATAATTATTTAGTGATATTTCAGCTAAATCAGCGTTGTACAAATGACATGTAAATAAACCGACTGACGTTTTTACAGGAAGTAGTGCTTTTTGCGTTCCCGTGCACTTCTGCATCTGTTCTTCATTTACTCTCACTTGAGAGAGTAAAATTGTAGTTTGACATTCCACAGCATGAACGAAAGACACAAGATCACGCGGGAAGGAAAGAACGAAAAAAGTTATTTTCTAGCTGCCGAAATCTCGACGCCATCTTTGTTGTAAGAAGTAAACAACGAAGAGAACGGAGAAAACCGCGAAATTGTTGAACGCATGAAAAATCATTTTTATTATGCAAATTCTTCTAAAAATCATGCCGTTGTGTTAAATTATTCTTTATCTTATGTGTACACACGTTGTCACAAGCGAAAATGAAGAAAATTGCAGTAAAAAGACACCACCAAATTGTAAACAACGAAGAAATGTAAACAAACGGCTAATGTCAAAATCGTTCAACTTTTTTCCTTAATGCGATTCTAACGGGCTACTCTCCTGCCCGCGTGATCTTGTCTTTTTGGTTCATGGTTCCACAGGTTTTAGTCCGAAGATCAAAGGAACAGACTAATAATTGAATCATGTCATATGAAATTATTAAGACGCGAATAGACGTTCCAACATAGTGTTGACTTCGTATACCAATTACTTGAAATTTAGATAACTCATAAGTACAGTTTTCGCTGGGATCAATAAAAACCCAGTTACACTTTTATTATTGCCTTGTTAAATAATATCCATAATATCCGGATTTCAGGACAATGTTTGCAATCGATTTTAAGGAACTTTCCAATTAACTACAGACTTAAAACTTTAAAAAGGGCAATGAAATTTTTAACAGTTTGTTCCATGTATCAGGTGAAAAAAAAATAGTTTTTCCTTAGCACCTTTGATGAGTGCATGAAATTTCTGTGCATTACATTAGAAGTAATTTATTTCAATAAAACTCACATATTGTGCCAACTGACACCAATTGCATATGCTAAGTGAAGCCAAGTCCTTCTCCACTTGGCCTCTCCATCGCAGTAGGTGCCTCCTTCTTCTTTTGCTGCCACCAGCGGGTTCAGAATTGAATACTTTCAGAGTTGGAGCGTCGCCGACTGGCAGAGCTATGTAAATGCTGATACATTACAATTACAATTGCATTCCTCAATAATTATAATTAGGAATCAATTCCTTCAGTTCACAGCAAAGGAATTGATAAATTTCTCAATTCCTTAGAAGTAATTTCAAATGTATGTTTTTTTTTTTTAATTCAATGACAAGGAATTTCACTTTGTAATTGGAATAAATTACGTGCTAGTAATGTAATTTTTTTTCCAATTCCTTTGAAAAGAATTGAAAATTTAATAGATTGTTTTCAATTCAGTTCAAAGGAATTGAAAAAAAAAATAATTTCGAATTCCATCCCTCAAAGTAATTTAAAAAGTAATCAAAAACTTTATCTAACAAATTTTTAATCAACTTATTCCTAAGTAGTATTACTACTTGGGCTTTAAGAAAGCTGAATAACTTAAACTCTAGCTGTTCATTTTATAGGATAACCGTTAAATTTTCTAGATCCCAGCGCGAACGCGCTTCGCGACTAATGCTTCGGGCACTGCTGTTCTCTTGGACTAGTCACTCCGTATTTATAAAAATGCACTGACTTAATTGTGTATATTATGGTACCCTTAATGCTACCCAAAATGGAGTGCCTTCTGGGGCCTTTGAAGTACTCTTACTGGTATCCTGCGTTACAAATGAGGATAGAGTCCGCTTGAATTACGAGCCCTGTCGGACTGGAGATCCTACCTCCTAAAAGTTTTGTAAACAAATTGTATTGCTATGGCTAAATGTTGATAATGATACTGTAATGGGCTGTTTTTGCTTACGCGTAAATGTACATTTAGCGCATTTAGCTCTAAATGCTACTCTAAATGTACATTTATCCATACAAAATTCGTCATCTAAATGCAACTAAATGCAACTCAATCTTTGCATTTAGAATCTAAATGCTAAAAGCATCCCTGTGATCTTCCAAAATTTCCACGATTCGAACATGGTTTAATGAGAAAAAGTGGCAACATTGCTTTTTCGAGTATACAACCGCTAGCTGCGTTTCAGTGATCGCCGATCGAGATTTCATTTATTATTTTACATTATTTGGATAAAGAAAAGTTACGCAAATTCAACATCGAAATGATGCTGATAGAAATCTGGATTAATTTGTGACCAACTCTGTTTGTTTTGTTTCCTAATTAGGTGTGGAAAATATAATNTGCGTAGTAGCACGGCGAATTTATACAAGGTGGTGTTACTGGCGAATTTAGATTTTCGCCGCGGTACTCCTTAATAGGTTCATTCCTTATCTTTTTGGACTAAAATCTGAAAAGTGTCAAAATGCCAGAGCGTAAGCAAAATGCGCTCACTNGTCAAAATAGTGTGTTGGTTGAATATGAATTCGCCTTTTTTTTACAAAAAAACACATCATTTTGACATTAATAAGTACCGCGGTGANATAGTGTGTTGGTTGAATATGAATTCGCCTTTTTTTACAAAAAAACACATCATTTTGACATTAATAAGTACCGCGGTGAAAATCTAAATTCGCCAGTAATACCACCTTGTATAAATTCGCCTTGCTTGTGCTGCTTCCACATTTGATATTTGTTTATTTTCAGTATAACCTGGCATCGTCATGGGTCTCTAAAAGAAGACTTGCCATTTCTATTATTTTGATGCCATCTGGTATCTCTAAGCAAAAAAAAAACATTTGATATTTCGACGAAACGTATAATTAATTAACAAGGATAACCTGACTTTCTAAGGACTTTTGATATAAGTTGCTTAGTTAAAAAAAAAAGTATTGGGTACCGATAATTCAGCACACCACTAGTTTTAACCTAGAAGAGTTAGGAAACGAAATTAATACTTTCGGTGTGTGTTTATTTATTATATTTGCTACCAAACTATCCTAAGCCAATCTTGAGTCCAGCTTAAAAGAATGCACTATGAGGAACTTGACGCCTTGGACCCTCGTAATACCACATGTACAACACGCATCGAGACACCTCCGCCTCACAAAGTTGCTGTCTTGATTCTGGTGCAGCAGTACCTCAAAGTAAAAAATGCCGCTACAGATGCAGGAGTCGCTTATCCTTTACAGGCCCGCAGAAACTTTTGTATGTTGCTATTAAAATTGATACAGTACCCCGATATGACCTACAATGACCTGTATAATTTGCTCACTTCTCCACGCTACAAAATAAACACCGTTCATTTGGAAAGCTTTGAAAAAGCGATGTCCAATATTTTTACACTGGGCATTGAAACATTGTGCGATTTTGCTGAGCGCCAAAATTGGGATAACCTTGTATCAGAGACTTTGGGAGTGAGTCAGTTCAGTATAGTAGGACTATATGTTCGACGCGTATGTGTTATTCTTGAGCGTTTATCATTTCCAGAAATCATGTCTTTGTATAAGAATATTTGCTTATACTATGAGAAAGGTTATTCTAAACAATCGTGTAACTTGGGGCTGTTTTTCATAAAACACTAATATTATGTATTCAATTCTCAGGTGTTCGTTCATTAGCAATTGGACCACGCAGGGTCACTGGAACTGCATCTGTTGCTCCGAGTAATGTATTGCAACGACCTCTTGGGCGAACATCGGACGAACATGGTCACACATTAGAAGAATCTGCTTTAGATACTGATACTGTACACCAAGACCGAAACCCTCATAGCAAATGGTCACCAAAACAAGCTGACTTGTTCGTAGCTCAACAATGTAAATTGCTGGAGAATAACGAGCTACGAGCTTTGGCCCCCATCGAGCTACAAAGCAAATTAAATGAAATAATTCAGGACAACCCTCTAAATTCGCAAGCATATTTTCTAGGTTATATGAATCAATTAAGATTACGCGACTACTACGGCGCTATGCATGCTCTCCATCGAGCTTTCGATCGAAGTCCTATGCATACGACGGCTCAGTATGACCATAAGGTTCAGTTTAAAATACATACTGTTAATGACGAATAGTTAAAATTTGCATCATTTATTTATTTATTTATTGCAGGGTTTCCAGTACTTTAGTGTCAACTTGGCTGTGCTGCATGCTTGTTTCAACCATCGGCGAGAAGCCTTAAACGCACTAAAGGAATGTATAATGTTGGCACAGGAATGCGGAGACAAAAGATGTCTTGATTTAGCTAACTCATGGTATTGCTTGCTTAATAGTAACAAAATAGATCCATTTGAAAAAAGTTTGCCTGATATTCAAGATCCCGGTTTGGTACAGTCTTTATCATTAGCAATTCAATATGTAGTGAAATTTGGCGCCCAGTGTGGATATCTACCACTAGATCTATTTGAATTGCTGCTCAAAAGCGATGAATTGAATAACAAAAATTCAATATTGGAGCACGCATCTAACTCACTGGCATTGAGATCTGCGCTTTGGTGCCTCTATGGCCGTCACGAAATATCTTCGCTCTATGCTCAATTGCTCCTTCAACTGAAGAAAACATGGGCATTTGGAGATATAGGTAATTCAGAGAGTGTAAGTAAAGTGCTCGCTAGCCTCTCCTTATGGTTGAATGTGCAAGGTGAAAACCAAATGAGTGCAGTTGTACAGAATCATGCACGTAACCGTTTTCCACGTTACCCAAATGCGCACAATTGGATGATTAGCGAATTTCACATTGCCATACAGCAATGTATTTATCGGTGCCGGTGGCAGGAAGCCCTTAAAGCATGTAGTCAATTGTATCTGCTGGATAAAAATGCTGGAAACCTTCAACGAGCCTCGATATATATCGTAAAACGATATTTCAATACGGCTCGACGTGTTATTCAACAGCTACTACACTGTCGTAATTTAGATGTTTTGACACAAGTTCGTGTTTTGGTATTACAAGCGTACACGACGATTTGTGAAGAGCGTGTGTCATCTGAAACAGTGGAATTCCTTATTCGTGCCTCTGTTTTGGCAGCATCGGCTTACATGGAATATGAGCAAGCGGTCGTGGACTTGGTGTTGGCACAAGTTCTTCTCAAAATGAGAATGCCCCAAAAAGCATTTCAGGCAGCAAAAAACTGTATGGAGAAAATTTATGAAAATGGTGGAATTTACGACCGTGCTAAAATGGATTTTATATTTGTACGTTGCATGGTAGCAGCAAGTGAAAATGACGAACGAAAAGCAGAAAATATACTTAAAGGAATAGGGATATTAGAACGAGCTATAGACAGTTTTAAGAAGTTAGAGGCTCATGCTAAGGTACTGGATATTTTCATTTACTTGGCAAAAACGTTTCAAGAACTAAAATCTACGGAGCAGCGCAACAAATATGCATCTAAATTTAAGCACTATTACTCAGAGTACCCAATAGCAAAAGAATACCTCGGGATGGCCTTTTAGTATATATTGTAGCTTTGTTGTATTTACATATTAATATATTCATGTATCCAATTCATCAACGGGACTCAGTTCTACGTATCCAGATCTAGCCAGGAAACCCCGAACCGTGACACACCAAACCTGAAACCGTAGTGCTACAAGAAACTAAGGATTTTTTCATTGGTGGTGATATATGGGCCGTTTATTCTGAAAGTTGTATAAGTCACTTCGTACCTCTTGTGCGTAAATGACCGGCTACTTGTAATCGAATCCATTTGTAAATCGCTCCATCATCATACTCTAACGACACCTACCTGTGATTGATTAGTTGAACGAATCACCAACGCGTTCAGATACAAAACCGGTCAATTAAGCACAAGAGGTATGACATACATATCGTCGATGCTTTTGCAAAACCGCCCATCGGCCAATGGCAAAACCGCCTATCTTACGTCACTCAAATTTTACAGGTTTATGGTTTTTCGTTGAAGGCATTAGGTTTGTTCGTCGAGCAAAAAATTTGTACGAATTATCACGATTTTTGCCCAAATCGCGTTCGTGCAGACCAAAAAATTATCCAACACTCAAAAATTGTGAGAGCAAAGTGACAGTTCTCTTGTAGAGAAGTTGCAAATTCTTGCTGGAAAAAATTTTGCCAGCAAGAATTTGCAAACACGAAAAACATGTGGTTGTGGCGCATGGTTGCATTTTTGTCTACAATAATTTGAATAAATTAGTTCGTTAAATTTAAAAATTTATAAACACGAGCGATTTTTTTATGAAAAAAGGAAGTAAATAATTGTTGATATAATTAATTTAGTTAATTCCAATGATTTGAACTTAATTCGGCTGAAAAAAATGGTATTCGCAATCGGAATGCAATTGCAACCAGAGGCGATTTAAGAAACCCGACAGCTAGTACGATGAAGAAATTGAACTGTATGTCAAAGAAAGTCAGAACAACAAGAAATATACATGTATATCCTGTTTTTGGCCATCCGAAAGAATTTTAAAAATTCTATAAAAATTTTTTATGTTTGAAATGCAACCGTGGACGCCAGCTGGCAGCGAAACTTGCAAATTCCTGCAAATTTGCGTTCGTGCAGAAATTTGCAAGTTTCTCAACATGAGAGAGAATTTGAGAGAATTTTTTCTTACTCTCTGATATTTTGAGTGTTGTATAATTCTTGCTGGATTTTCGACGAACAAACCTATTATAGCCTGTTTCGTATGAGCGCAATGTCAAAATCAATCACACTTTGGTGAATACATTTTGGATACCACCTTATTGAATACGCCTTGGCCACAGCTTTCAACATGATTATGGAATCATGAGCTTTCAAATTATTCAGCAACCACTCGGCCAGTTTGCGTTTACTCTGCTTCCTTTTGTGGAACAACTATCTCTGCCTTCGCCCTCTCACTTGAGAAATTCAACGCCAATTTTTGTTAGGCAGCTTCCCTTGAATTTCTTTTCGCTTATTTCCCGTTCAAGCGAATTTCTTTTTCCCTCTTTCCAAGGTACATTGAACAGGTAGTATCAGTAGAGCAGCTGATTTGATTTATTTTCAAATTATTTGGTCTCGAAAATGTCAAATATTTTTAATTTTTTCTCACAAAAATTCTGAATTGTTAAAATCCATTTGCATGTGAAACCTTTTTCCATACAAAACAAGCGATTGAATAGCAGCTTTTGGAACGTTCGCCCAACTCAGCAGCACNATTTTTTATTTTTTATAATTTTTTGTATTTCACATGGCACCCTTTGATTTAGAAGAAAAAATTCAGAGCAGTTTTTGACACTTTCGATACCAGAAGCAACAACAAAATACACGCAAATGTTGTTTTTGCTCTACTGATACTACCTGTTTAATGAGCCTTGCCTCTTTCCTTACCTCTGCAACTTATGTAATGACTTTTTTCCTTGTAGGCTTTTGAGATAAAATTTCACTTCTGAGGTGTAAAAGCCAGAACACCAAGTGGTAAAATTAAGAATATGTCAAGCCTTTAAAGTGATTATCTGCTCCGACAGCCTATCGGTCCTTAAAGCAGTCCAAAATCCAACTTCGAACTCAAGGACAGTGAACATAATTAGAGACATGCTTATCGAAAACGAGCAGAAAATAAGATTATTTTGGATGCCTGGACATATAGGTATCCATGGTAACGAGGCAGCAGACTTCGCCGCAAAATCAGTATGTACAGCCCCTGTAACGACAGACAATACAGTAGAAAAGATAGATACACGAAGATTTATCCTACGTCACTTACGGCATAAAAGCACGCAGAAATGGCACAACTACAGCCATCATCACTACACTAACATAAACCGTGAACTTAAAACCCCAATTTATCCTACAACAATTTCTAAAGTGCACATTCAAATGTTCTCGCGTCTCCGTCNTTGCTCTACTGATACTACCTGTTCAATGTACCTTGGAATATGTATTTAACTATAATTCAGCAGTTAATGTTATACATAGAGTATGTGTAGAAAGTTAACAATAAATCGGTATTTGTTGAATGGACCTTTCGATGCTTCTACGTGTACTTTGTTGCACGTTCCACTTCACACTGACTTCATTACAGTGATGGTGACTATACGCTGACCACTGTTTGAGTATCTGTGGGAGCGACGAGGCCTCTATGTCTCCTAGCAGCGTGGAGTGGCTGACGGTATTAAACGCCAACGCACACGCTCTCTCACAGGGGCGGTTGCGATTAAGGCCATGTCTTTTCTGAGAGTTTATGGCGTTAAGTGCTGTTGTTGTGCTGTGCACTTTACGGAAACCATGCTAATGCTTCGCTGGGGTCAGGTGGTTCGCAAAATACGGGAGTAGCAAGGCCTCTAGTGTCTTCGCTACCGGGAAAAGGAGTCTTATCTGACGACAAGACTATCCTTTGTTGGCTAGTTTCCCCGGTGTGAGCAGTGGGACAACTCTCCCCATCTTCCAGATGTCTGGAATGACGAGAGTGGCCATTAACATATTGAGGACCTCCGTTAGGTACGCTACTCCTGCACGACACAAATTTTTTCATCATAAACATGCATATTCCGTCGGTTCCCATGACTTTGGAGGCTTTCACCTTCCCGATGGTAACCTAAACTTCACCGCTGGTAAAAGCAAGAGGCGCACTTGTTGGCAGTTTGTGCAGTCTTCTGGCCACTCGACGCTTGGCTTTGTCCACTGGAGGATGCAGTATAAAATGCCGGCTAAAATAGCTCGCGCATCGCGTTTGTATATCTACTGTCCGCTACACAAGACTTGCTGCAGTAATGCACTCGAGCCAAATCTATTTTAAATATTTTAAAACTATCAACAGTTTTGCGCCCACGAGATCGTACCAACTAAGTATTGGGATTTTCTTTCATAAGTTAAATCAGCCTTTCTAGCTGATCTTAAAACTATCAACAGTTCTGCATAAAATTAATAATTTTTTTTTTAAATTAGTGTCTAATCACCAAAAAGTAAATAGATACCAAAAATCATACAATTTTCTCACACTTCCCTACAGCATCGAAATCAAAATTTTTTCGACAGAAAATTGTATACTCAACGTAAATGTCGACACGGTTGCATAGCTCATAATACGAATTTCACAATCGATCTTCGTAAAGTCGTATACACAGAACGGAATTCAAGAAGAATGTAATATCCGATTTCAAAGAGCATGTAAAAGCCGAAATAGAAAATGTTATGTAGTTAATAGAAATTTATTTATTTACTTGTAGTCTCTTTTATATAATGAACACCTGTCTCGTTAACCACTATTCTTTTTTATCGGGTGAATTGCCTTCGCCTTCTTCCTTTTGCATTGGCTCTTTATCCTTCTCCGATTCTCTTGCTTTGGTAGTATCCATGTTGGCGCCACTCGGTAGCGCTTTTTCCAATGCCTTAACAAAGTCCTCTAAATTACCTGCATATGCAGCAGCAACTGCATCTGGCGTTAATTCAAATTGTGATACCACGGGTCCGAGCTGGGCCGATTGAAGAGCATTCGAGAACAATGAAAGAGCTTGTTGAAATTGTGGTGATGCAATTGTATCCTTTATTTGCTGTTTTTTATTTTCGTCGGCATCTTCACTCTCAGGCAGGTGAACTGATAGTAATTTTGCGCGTTCTGGATCCGAAATTATTTCGTTTATTGCCTCGGAACCATTTATGGCAGTGGATAAATCAACGTTCAAGGTACGGGTTGATGGTGCTAATATAACGTAAGACAAATAAGAAAATTATACCCATATTTTGTTAACCTTAAACTTACCGGATGACTCGGTAATATTGTAAGTAGTTGCTCCAGCAGAACTTTTATTGTTGTCTTTTCCTTTGGGTGCAGAAGGAGTTTTGGGTGCCGTATTTGATTCCGGAGTTAGTAAATTACTTGCCCCAGCGTTATTTGCATTGCGTGCAGGTGTACGCGAGCTGTTTTCCGTTCGACTAAATAAAAGTGATACAATTTATTTAAGAAAAAAATCTGCTAGAATAAATTACTTCATTGAACCTAATAAAGATGTAAGCCCCCCCATTTGCCCAACGCCACCAAAGAGTTGCATCAGCTGCTGTTGCGACATGTTGTTCAACATATATTGTAAGTCACCATTGTCACTGTTGTTTCGTTGTTGTGAGGGTGGGTTATTCATTAGTTCGTTCACGCGACGACAGAGTTCTTCATCCTTTTCAGTTTTTGGCTCTTGCATCCAGAAGAACATACGACGTGACGACGACTTAAACTTTAATACGTAAACTCGACCAGTTTTGCACTGTTCAACTCTTTTAAATTCAAAATCGTCGGGAAAAACTATCAAGTCATCCTCTACCTGCCGAAATGCACAAAACAGAATTCTATCGGAATACTTCATATAACAGGTTCTCAATACCTTTCCTGTAGCACGGTCTTTCCAACAAAAATGCATTAGACCATCTTCACTCTGTGTAAGATACACCATACCTTTCCGAGCATCTGGATGAACCATCTTACCAATCATGTTCATACGACCAGCGCGAAATTCCACCAAGTTGGAGCTATTGCTTGTATTACCTCCGCCGATACCACCTTGACGACCAAACATTTTTC